TCGGTTTCCGGAGAGACCCCATCATGAATTCCTTCCAACCAACTTTCCCTTCAAAATAGAGAGTCATGCCATAGAATGGACTGTTTTATAATCCCTTCAAGCCTCTCACAAGCCACCCACGAGGAACTGCAACCCAGAAGATGCATATTCTTAGAACACTTTGCTTTCTAGTTCAAACGGCCATTGTTCTAATGAACCCGACTGCAGACTTTCTCAAGTGAAAAATGCAGCAGTATAGAGGAACCTGTACTAGCACAGCTACCTCTAAGCTCACACCTGACTTTTAATACAAATGCTTTGGGTTCATCTGAATTATTTGGTCACTTTCGAGCTCAAACAACCCACTGGAAGCACTGATAAGCCTTGGGGTAGGATAAGATAGCTTTTGGACGCATAAGATACTGTGACTAATTGGTGAAATCGACTACTTTTTCCTTTTATAACAAGGTTCTCAAGACCAACAATAGATCTGACATAAGAGCTGTATTCACCATATTACGTTTAAAATGAGAAATGACTAGCAGCTGAATTTTCCCACAATGAAAACTGGGCAAAGTGGAAATTGCAGTCCGCGCTGGATAAGAAGGCTATATGAAATTTAATGAAGAGACATATGCATATAATTGTGAAAAAAATTCAACATCCAGTCCTACGTCACTTCAACGAAATAGGGTGAATACATCTCTGAAATGGACTCATCATTTTGATTAATCATGGCTAACTTTGCTTTCAGTGCTTAAATTGCATAACAAAAAGTTTATTTTATTGGCGAGCATGGTCCAAACCCTATTCAAAAAACAGAGAATGTATGTAAATTTCTTAATTCAATAGGCTGCCCAACGTGAATGAAGACAAAAGTTGACTCTAGGTTTGTGGAAACAATAAAATGGCAAAGTTGGGAGATAAATTTCCACATGGTTGTGCTGCGTGTCAAGATTAATCCTAGGAAGGGTCAGATTGGGGTTAGCAATTAATGATAATTGTGTCATTCAACACGGGTTTTAGTTTAAAATTCCAATAACGAATCATTTTTTCGTGAATAGCCCGTCCAACGGAGCACGTAAACAGCCAACACCAAATGTTTAAAAAATGGGCTTTAAATGTATATTGGATATACAGCTAAAAGATCTTGACTCAGAACTTAAGTCATCTGAGGTCATTTTTGTATGTAACAAGACTGAAAAACGAATTTTCTCAAGATACAATATGGGCTACAGTGTTGGTCTCGCCTGAGCCTCATCAGCATTCTCAACAGGATTATAAATCTGGTCGTGTGATTCCATTGGCGACAGTCTGACACAGCGACAAGTGCCAAAAGGGTCACAGGGCAGATCCACTTTCTAAATGCAAGCTAAGCCTATATCAAACCTGATTTCTAGTAGGGGGCCAATTAGTGTTTGCTACCGACCCTTTTTATACTCGCCGTGTCAATACTATGAGAAGATTATATCTTGAATATCAAACATTAGACTCGTGTTGTAATCAAGATCATCTTATTAACAGAGCACATGTATACAAAGAGCATAAACATAATAACAGAAATAATAATAATAAGGATATATGAAATTCAATGAAAATATAAGGCGTATGCATATTATTGTGAGAAAAATTCAACATCCAGTCCTTCGTCACCTCAAACGAGATAGGGTGAATACATCTCTGAAATCTACTAATCATTTTGATTAATCATGGCTAATTTTGTTTTCAGTGCTTAAATTGCATAACAAAAAGTGTATTTTATCGGCGAGGATGGTTCAAGCCTTATTCAAAAAACAGAGAATGTACGTAAATTTCTCAATTCAATAGGCTGCCCAACGTGAATGAAGACAAAAGTTGACTCTAGGTTTGTGGAAACAATAAAATGGCAAAGTTGGGAGATAAATTTCCACATGGTTGTGCTGCGTGTCAAGATTAATCCTAGGAAGGGTCAGATTGGGGTTAGCAATTAATAATAATTGTGTCATTCAACACGGGTTTTAGTTTAAAATTCCAATAACGAATCATTTTGTCGTGAATAGCCCGTCCAACGGAGCATGAAAACCGCCAGAACCAAATATTTAAAAAATGAGCTGTAAGGCATCAGTACCTGCCGAAAATGACTATCGTCGAGTTAAAGAGCTGACCACCGGTCATTGCGTTGAGGATGCTGCTCCAACCGCGCGCCACGGATGCAGCGCTCAAGATATACTCGAGAAGAACGGCCCATCCGGTCAGAAAGGCCAGCATCTCTCCGAGGATAGTATAGGCGTAGGTGTACACTGAACCAGCCTGTTGAAGGACACAGCATGTGAAATATGATTTTTTAAGCCTTGAAAGGCAGAATTCGTTTTGCGCGTGTACAACAAAGTATTTAGGACAAATCAAGCGCAAAAAATTTGGAATGGAATACTAAATCTCTTTAGCTTCGCATCCTGCTGAACTAAAATGTATATTGGATATACAGCTAGAAGATCTTGAATCAGAACTTAAGTCATTTGAGGTCATTTTTGTATGTAACAAGACTGACAATTGAATTTGCCCAAGATACAGCATGGGCTACAGTGTTGGTCTCGCCTGAGCCTCATCAGAATTCTCAACGGGATTATCAATCTGGTCGTGTGATTCCATTGGCGACAGTCTGACACAGCGACAAGTGCCAAAGGGTCACAGGGCAGATACACTTGCAAGCTGAGCCTATCTCAAACCAGATTTCTAGTAGGTGGCCAACTAGTATTTGCTACTGAACTTTTTTATATTCGCCCTGTAAATGCTATGAGAAGATTATATCTTGAATACCAAACTTTAGTCACCTGTTGTCATCAAGATACTCTTATTAACAAAGCATATGTATACAAAAAGCATAAACAGAAATTTTAATAATAAAAACAAAAAAATAAAGTGTTGATTCGGGGTTATGTCTCTTTGGGCGCTCTTATTTTTCTCTGCCTCTTTTACGAAGCATAAAAACAATCTGTCTTTGCTGAACATCATATTGTGTAGGAACGGAATAAGGTAGTGACGATGACACTGTCGGCAAATGTCGGTAAACATACACATTTTAAGGAACTTAAATATACAAGTGCTCGTAACGTGGCTTCATAGGTCGATTAATTGGTTCTCCTAATCACGAAATAGTGAATATGTAAGTCCTCAAGCCAGTTGATGCCGTTCTTGTACACCTTTTATAATTTTCTTCGATTCCCAAAGGCAAGTCAGAAAGCTCTTGGATTTGATAGGGTCAACTATTGCCAACGAAGCCCCATATTTAGAAAGGTGTGGCCAAAATACTTGGTGTGCTTAAGCATAGTTACTCTAATCATTAATGGCTGTAAAGCTGAAAAATGCGCCTGCGTTTTAGCCGGATATCATATCAGACGACTCTTTCTACTCGACTTAGCAGAGGTTAGTTAACCCAACATTATTATACTACCTTTCTTAAAAACAATCTGCTCATTTGGACTATTAGCACCTGAGATAGCATTTCCACTCAAATGTTTTATTGAGTGTCATTGAAAGACTATGAATTCAATTTATCATAATCAATCCGAAAATATGAATCAACAAGGATGAACTATGCGATTTTCGTCGTCAAATTTTATAGGATTCTCCTTCATGAACCCAAACTATGATCTCCAACCTTGCTTGAACATGATTATATGTGGAACAGCATAAATTCGGAAAACCGCCATAACAATTAGGATATTTAAGGAAGGCTAAGAACACATTTCATTTAAAAAGTAGGCAACCCTCTGTGGTACAAATGTCATTTCTTATAGATAAAACGAGAGTGGAGCTGTAGATTGTATCGGAACCCGATCAACTTAACCACAAGTCCTACCTTCGGAAATCTGCAAGCCAGTTCAGAGTAGACCATGGCGTTGAAGAAGGCTACTAGACCGGCCAGGAGGTAGGCGACAAACGTTGCCGGGCCAGCTCGAGTCTTCACGACGGTACCAGTCAGGATAAAGATGCTGCTTCCAATCATGCTGGCTTGAAAAAAGGAAAATATACATCATAAAGGATTGAGTATGAGCGATGGCTATCCTCTATCCTGAATGTAGACATTAATAGAGATAAACTTAAGCACATTAAAATTGTGATGGTGTGGCCTTGTTACTGCTCCCGTAACTCAGCAGTAAGGCTTGAGCCTCTCACTGACGTTAAAGTGAAATGTCTGATAATGTGCCCAGTCAACGGTCCTATGCTCTGTCAGAGAACGCAGGAATAGGCACATTCCACAGAATCTCTCCATCTGTGCGACGAAGTTGAGTAAACGACGTCAAACAGACAAGATATCTCAAGAGTTTGCTACTTGTTTGCATAAACAAATAAAGCAGACTCGACGATCTGTAAGCATTGACGATGGACAAGATGTAGACAAGGCAGATTCCTAAATCGTGTCATGGATTGTTGTGCTTACTTGCATTTCGAGTGAAAGTGTTTGGTGAAGAGATTCGAAGGTTGATTCCACCAAAATACGACGGCGGATTCCTCTTGACCAGCTGTCGATTGGTTTTACTGGAAGATTCGTACTGACGCTGTTTTAGAGGTAATCTCCTTCGATTCTTGACTCGTTAGCTTGAATTTTGTTGTAATGATGATACCTTGCTGAGATGATGTTTGTCATATGACGGACGAAAGCTTAGCCCTTTTTCACCAGAATCGAAGGAGATTTCCTCGGGAACAGCGTCAACATGAATGTTCCAGTAAAGCCAATCGACAGCTGATCAAGAGGAATCCGCTATCGTCTTCTGGTGGAATCGACTTTCGAATCTCTTCACCAAACACTTTCACTCTAAATGGAAGTAAGCACAACAATTATGAAACAAGAGATGTCTCGAAGCCCAACTTTTCTTCGTGCCATGGATACTTGGGGCTGACTTCTTCCACAAGAAGAGATTCTGATCCGATGAGTGAATCAAGGGGGTCCGATAAGAAATAAAAAAAAGCAATTAAAGCATTTTGAGGATAGATTTGGAAGGTAGCAGCTAAGTATGTGAAAACAGCACACTTTGTGGAGAGTCTTTGCCAAATAGAGGTCCGATGGCAGGAATGAAGACAGTTACTATGACGGCCACAAAGATCCTGAGTCGAAAATGTCTTTGCCGTAGTAATAATCATATATACTTTCATACGAAATGATAGTTTCCCCAACATAAGGTTATTTCAGCTGAGGCTTAGACAACTTAAATCAAAATGAAGTTACATAGTGCATTGGAAAGTACATAGGAGTACATAACTTGACAAATGAAAGGTAGACGTGGCGATGAAATAGGCTGGACAAACGTAGGGTGCATATGAAAATTAATCATCTCAAATTTTTCATCCCATCTTCTCGAATCTTTAACCCTATACTGGCTGGTTCACTACACAGTTTTCGTCTAGTTTGCTGTCAAATTGTCTTCCTTACGGTCCACGAGGTGTGATTCACACAGTCCATAGGGTGTGGTCCACAGTCCACAAGTTTTGATCCTTTCTGGCTTTTTTGAAATATGCGAAGACGATACCTTGCTCTGATGATGTTCGTCATATGACAGACGAAAGCTTAGCAACTTTTCACTGGAATCGAAAGAGAGGGCCTTGGAAACAGCGTCACCGTGAATGTTCCGGTAAAGCCAATCGACAGCTGGTCAAGAGGAATCCGCCGTCGTGGAATCGACCTTTGAATCTTTTTACCAAACATCTTCACTCGAAATGGAAGTAAGCTCAACAATTTTTGAAATAGTTTATAAATCAGTTGCGTGCCCCTTAAAAAGCGTGGCATGATGTATATTAATGTTATAGCCTCAATCGGTAGATGTGTTTTTTACTTATTGAATACTAGCATTTATTTAGATATTGCGATTAAGAAACACTATGATTCTTGAAACGGGCTGCAACCTTTCCGGATATATAAAAGTTTGCAGCCCCATCTATTGGGGTTGTTTTGATGAAGTCGACAAGAACCTAACAAATATGCCTCGCCCATATACTAGATTTCCAAAATTTTCACATTTTCGCCCGGCAGTTATTGGATGAAAAATTGTCCAACAAAAAAAGAAATCTTATAAATGTCGTCAGGTGTATGCATGTTAAAAATTAGCATAATCTATTAAATTCCGATTTGGAACAATCAAATCGAGAGTCTTTAGCACATATTATGAAACTTTGCATTCAATCTCTCAAAAAAAGTTTGTGTATATGAAGCCAAAACGAGACTTAAGAGGCTGCCAAATAATATTCAGTCTTCTTACAAATCCTAGATTTAATGGATTGAAAGTAAATCGGTATATCTGGCGCATTAACATTAAGTTGGTTTCAGGCTTTTTAGCATTCTAAAATAGCCCACAAATGAGCCTAAACACAGTTATCATTTATCCGAACAAAGAATTCAGCATAGCTGTTTGCAACAAAAGCTAACATCTAACGAAGATGGAGCCTACTAGTAATGTTGGCTAGATCTCGTTTTCGCAACTTGATCAGAACGTCAGGGAGACCTTGTAGAAGGTACCTAGTCCT